TTTGAGACAGAGTCTCACTCTTTCACCCTGGGTAGAGTGCCGCGGTGTCGTAGCCCACAGCAACCTTAAACTCTTGGGCTGAAGAGATTCTCTTGCCTCAGCATCCCGAGTAGCTGGGACTACAGGCACCTGCCATGATGCCTGCCTAGGTTTTCTATTTTTAGTAGAGACAAGGTCTCACTCTTGCTCAGGCTGGTCTCAAACTCTTGAGCCCAAGCAATCCGACTGCTTCAGTCTCCCAGAGTGGTAGAATTACAGGTGTGAGGCACTGCACTCAGTCCAGATTTTTTTCTAAAACATTAGGTGTTTGAACTATCGTGTTGAGAACATCAGCAGGGAAAGTGGTTGGCTATGGTTATGACTCCAGGATCTATGTGCTGCCATACGACTTAGAAAGAACTGCTAGGAGCCACTTCTGAGACTCTCCTTTGAATACTCAGAAATGAGCTCTTCCCCTTGGAGAGACCTGAACTGAACCTCAGTTTCCTCACTTCTAGTCCATTGCCAGTTTTATGACCCCACGTGCTGTCTGTCCTGCCTCTGCTGTGATGGCCTTCTGATTTCTGTACTCTGATGACTGAACAGGTACCAAATCACCAAACCAGAGAATCAGCTGCTTTGAATAGGAGGGAACCTTAGGGACACCCAAGCCATGGCAATGAACTCACATGAACATTTCTGGCCTGCAGTATCACCTCGCTACACCATAGGCCAAGTGGTCTTGACTTCCCCACCATGGGAGAAACCACCACCCCTACCAACCCAAGTGTATTCCATTCCTTCCTTACTTTCTCCTCCTTTCCCCGCTTTGAATCCTAGAACTGGTGGCAGGAAAGCCTTCCTCCCCTATCCTGGCCATAGGAGGAGGAACATAAGCGCCAGACTGTGGCAGAGAAGACCCCATGGTCTGCCCACCGCTTGGCTGATTAGTTTAGGGGTGAAATAAGTCTCTGGTTCCTAAAATATCCTGTCCTGTCCTGGCACCTTAGCTCCCAACTTCAGTCATTTCAGGGGGTATAACTGGCTTCTACAAGCCCACAGATAGGGACAGTGGGCTCCCTTGATCTCTTAGCCCTGAGAGAGGAAAGCTGTGCTCTGGGAAGGTGAAGCTGCTTTATTTTCTCAGTAACCTTTCATCTGACATAGTCTACCTGTGTTTGCACATCGCTGGGCACCATCTATTAGACATAAGAGCCACAAGGGCAGGAGCTTTGTCCAACATTGAGAACTGTGCAGGCACCAGTCTTCAAGCCACTTGGGTGTTGTCCAAACAGGCTGGTGGAGCTGGGCAGGGCCTGCCACTCCAGAAGGCATTATAACAGGGACAGTAAAACTCACAGCACCAGTTGCTGGGGGAAAATGAGATACCATGTAACAGAAACTCAACTCTTTATTTTTATTTTATTTTA